TAAGATCTAATGTGCTTCGCAGGTTAGGTTCCCTGATGAACAATACAATGAGAAAAACTCAGAAGAGAAATAGGGAGAAGGAATTCGGGACATTCCCAAGAGGTAAAATCCAAATGACAATTAAATACATGAATGATGATGCTCATAACTAGGAGGAAGGGGATGCTATTTTACATCACTACATCCCTTAATTTTGCAAAATTGAGGGAGCAGAAGCAAGACATCATGGGGAACAGGCTGGAATGGAGCCAACAGCTCCAGGGAGGGGAATTGAGAGCCGGAGAGTGTGTCCAGAGATGCTCACTGCAGTCTTTACAGGTGCAGAAAGAAGGCACTTGGGTGACTGGGATGGAGAACGGGGGACCATCCACTCCATATGAGACAGCAGGAGTGTGCCATAGCCGGGGTGGGAGATGGTCACCAGGTATCAGTAGATGAAGCCAGGCACGATTAAAGTGTCTAAGGTACCCAGAGATCATGGCACTGACACTGCCCTCCCCTGTTACAGGAGTGTAGGTCCACCTTTGAATTATCCTGGGGAAAAGGTGTAAAGATGCTGGAGCCCACCCAGGTCACTTGTGTCCCTGGACAAAGTGTGCATCTTATTGCCACCCAAGTACAATCATGGGTGGGTGTGCATGCTTCCCCAATGACCATGACCCCATGTTACTTTTTTAGTTTGAAATCCATTCATTAATGAGAACATAAAGTTGATGACATTTATTTACCTCCTTCTGGAGACAGCTCCATCCCATGCAAAAAAGGATCAGGGATTCCGGCTTTGCTAATCCGACTGAGAGGTGGACTTTTCCATTCCTGCAAACACCGATTCACTTCCTGATATCTCAACTAATCATAAGGAAAGTCATGCTGTGCTTTGAAGGGGCCGTGATCTGTTCCTTACCTTCGGGGTCCTGCCTACGGCTGGTCTTGATGGGGGGCGCACATACCGCGTTCACACAGAGCAGCCTGCATCTCAGCCAGCGCTTTTGCCTTGGAAAGGCGGAGTCAGCCATCCACAGCCCTAGGGCTGTGTGGTCAGTGGGCAGACCCCCAGCCCTGCCACTTTCACCTGCCCTCTCTGGCAAGGGGCCATGTTGTTTGCTGCTCAAATCCTATTCAATAATCTTAACAGTAAACATTTTGCATTTGGTAAAGGATGGTTTTACCTAACTTCCTGGGGTTTTGCTCCAACTTCATTTAAGTTTGCTTGAAAGTAGGACCAGTAGACATTCTTGAGGAGGGTGAATTCTTGGGGCATATGTGAGGATGTGTGATGTCCCAGGACACAGCCTGATCCAAGATTTCATATCAGCATAGAGAGGGGTGCAGGAGAGGTAACTAGGGATCACCTGGGGTCAGACGGGAGGAGCTGCAGGCTTAGGCTGATCGGCACGTGAGGCCTGAGTGGAAATCGTTCCCTTAATGCCTTCTCATGTCCTGGGTCATATTAGAAAGGCTCACTTAAGGTGGGGGGGGGGGAGGCACATTATGCAAAAGTGGTTCTTAAAAGCAGATGACTTCAGAAGGAATTATTTTCATTAGACTCCTTCAGGGGATCCCTTTAAAAACCATCCCCCTACTGAAGTTAAGAGTGTTATTTACAGATGATTAGCTCTTTGGCTAGGAAGAGGGGCAATTTAATCCTAAAACACTCAAGGCCAGTGGAAGATTGTTTGGGGGACAGAGGGAAAACCTGAAAGCAAAATTTGCTTCCGAGCCATCTTGGAAGTCAGTGGATACATAGAATCCAATGTACAAAAGTCATTTTCTTCAGGAGCACAACTGTCAGGGAACGCGCACTTTCAGGTTCAAAAAACAAAAACAAATACATCTTAAAAGACGCTGAGAAGGAAGGGAACCTCTGCTCTGGGGACGATGGATGGCTTCCTAGAGAACAATGGTCTACACCTGTCCCATCTCAAAGGCAAGATGTGGGGCTCCTCACCTCAGTGAAACCACAGCGTGGGGGAGGAGAGGGATCCCAGGAACATGGTAACAGTGTGTGTATGTGTGTGCGTGTGTGTATGCGTGTGTGTGCGCGTATGCGTGTGTGTGCGTGTGTGTGTGTGTGTGTTCTCTTGCAAACATGGTCCTTTCCATGATGTGGGGGTTGCTGGAGGAAATGGGATGTGGAGTGGACTAGACTGGGCATTCCTGTCTGCACTTGGAGACTCAAGGGAACCTTGAGAAGACACTGGCATGCTGCCCACATCCAAATGCCACACAGGAGACAGGAAGCTGGGCAGGGGCTGTAGGGCTGGCAGGTGGCCTCTGTGTGTGACCAGGGCACAGCCTCCAGGGGGAGTCTCCAAGGCCCCTGCTATCCCCGGGGAGAAGCCTGGCCACGTTGCAGAAGTGGCCCCCATTCCAGAATGCTGACAGCATGGCAAGGTGCGTGGTGCCTCCAGAGGTCCTCCGGGGAGCGCACCTTGTGCGGCACTTGATGCATATTTCATTATTATTTTTTTAATGGGATAGCGGGGAACGCTCTTCAGGGTTTCCTTCAAACTGCTATAGTAGGATTTTAATGTTTTTGAAAAAATCACTAAGAATCAACAATGGTGGGGATAGATTGAAATATGATTAAACAATAGCATATTAGACCATTAACGTTTTCAGGGCTCTTTATGAAAATTAAGATGTGAAAATAATAAGAGGAAAAGGTCTAGGTGACATGACTGAGATGTCATTTAAAAACATCTCGGAGGGATGTGGGACACACCTTGTATGGTGTCTATAATTATTATAGATCTTTACTTTAAATGTGGGTAAAATGTAGCGTCATCGATGGTTTAAATTGTCACCTTACATTTTTCATAATAAAATGGGCCCGTTAAACCAGGGGTTGGCACCGTGTTTCTGTGAGGAGCCAGCTGTTCATATTTTACGCTCTGCCAGCCCCCTATGTCTCCGTGAAATATCTTTGTTTTTACAATCCCTGGAAATCTTTAAAAAGCATTCAGGGATCTCAGGCCTTATAAAATAGGGCGCAGGCTGGTTTGGCCTATGACATGAGTTTGCCAGTGCCTGTGTTAGATGATTTTATTTCCTTGGTTGGCTCTTGCTAGTTTATTATGGAGAATTGGTGAAATGTTTCCACGTTTAATGCGTAAAACCCTTTCCTAGGTCCACTTTGGAACTTTGCCTGTACCCAAGTCAGGACTTTTCAGAATCATTTTTTTTTGGTCCACTTCTGTGAAGAAAATGGAAATATAAATCTGTCACATGATCGTGCAAAGCCATATTGCCCAGTGTGGTGACCATTTGCCCCGTGTGGCTCACAAATGGGACCTTAGTTAAAGTCAAGATTCTGTGTCTGTGGGTCCACCAGCACCATCCTGCCCCACACACACACAGAGATTTCATTCCAGATGGTTCCACAAGACAAGAGTGTTAGGGGAAATACTCCAGGTCTCAACCCCACTGCACCAATTCTCCTTCAGAAAATAACATTTATACAGAAAAAGGAAGAGCAGGTAAAGACATAACTACAGGAATTGGAGTCCCATAGATCTGGAAAGGTAGCAAAGGTTGAATAATTTCCCCTGGTTCAAAACCACAACTCTACATCCTACAGGCTGTGTGACCCTGGGAGAACCACTCCACCTCTCTGAGCCCTCTGCCTCCCAGGCTGTAAGGCAAGTATCACCATACCTACCTGGTGCGGGGCTGGGGGCTTAAGCGAGGCCGAGTGTGTGGGTGTGTGTAGCAGCCCTGCAATCCTTCACCACGGTGAACGGCAAATGGACAGCAGTCACAGATTCAGAGACAGTGTGGCTAGGTTTTGGTTGCTTGGGGCATACAGAATCATCTTGCATTTAATGAATGCTAACGTGGCCAGTGAGGTTTGCAGAATGGCTGGGAGAAATGCCCGCCTGCCCCACCCCCTAAACATGTGCGTGGACCTGGGGTTAGCACTGTCATGCTTTTGGCTCCTGTGATGGCTCTGGGGGTGTCTCAGCCTCACATGCTGGGGGCTGAACTGTCTCGCTGTAGTTGACAGCGAGGACCCCTCTGTCTCCCCAACCCCTTCTCCATCCTCAGCAGTCGCCCACTCAACCTGCCCTGAGACCCTCCATGCTCACGTTGACCCTGACACCACTCAAGACTCACTGGGTAGCTATGGGGACCTTGCAGGACCTAGACAGAGGCTACGTCTCAGCTGTGGCTGGGAGACCCCAAGGAGTAGCAGAGCGTCTTAGTGATGGCGGTGGATAGGTGGGCTTTAATTCCTCAACCCCCTCTGGGGATGTGGGGTGGGAAGGTGGGACAGGCACCGTCCACCCCAGACCCTCAGCCCAGGGGCAGGAATCTGGCCTTCCACCCCCTCACTGTGATCTGCCTTCCAACTTTACCTCTGCTCTCTTCCTGGAGCACATGATGGCTATATTTACACACACATGATAAAGTAGACTTACTTTTTAAAAAGCTAATTTACATTGCTCTTCCCCTGCCCACCAGAGAAAGGGTGGGAACCCACATCTTCCTCGTGCTTCCTCCACCCTGGAATCAAAGAGCAACGGCAACAGCCTTGCAAACAAGGCTCTAGCCACTCGCTGGCCGCTTTTCCCCCAGCAAGACCCTCAGGCTCAATTGCTGACCGAGCATCCTTCGCTGGGCTACACTGCCGGGGGGGGCTGGCATATTTTATTTAGGAATCTCATATTAATTTGCAAAGCTGTGATCAAAAGCAGGCAGAGAACAGGAGCGTCCCCCTCCCATGACCTTCCCCCAGCCCAGTGACCACCTCCTTCCTGTCCATGGTCTAACAAAGAATGGCCGACGCTGGGGTGGGTGGATTCGGCTGTGGATGGGGAAGAGCAGAGGGGTTCAGAGGCTAAGGCAGCAGGAACGGGGACATGCTGAGGAGCGTCGACCTCAACTCCTCGAGAGCCACAGAGGGTGGGGGCACAGATGGGGGGGGAAGCACATGGCAGGAAGGTGACGGGACTGGGATCTACGTGACAAAACAGGGAGAGCCACGACAGGGGGCTTACTTGCGGAAGTATATACAAGTGAACTGGGGGCACTGTACATGGAGGGTCCCTCCTGGTTTGTCTGACACAGCAGCACCGTGCCTACGAGAGACAGAGAGAGAGAGAGAGAGAGGGTGTCGGGTTGGAACAGGCACGCTGCACCCCAGAGCCCACGCAGCGCGAACCAGGGAGGCAGAGAAGAGAGCACACAGCCACATCCCAGCCCGCGTGACAGCGAGACCCAAGGAAGCCCCCTGCCTGGGCCAAAAGGGATCGGGAAGCCCACCCCCCAGCCCCCCAAGCGCATGCCATGGGGTGTGACCAGTGGGGTCTGGCTGACCTGGAACCCAGCAGTAGATCAGGAAGGGAAGGAATACGCCAGATTCAAAAGGGAACTTCAAAAATATCAGGGAGAAACAGATAGGAAGCCTGACTCAAACACCCCTGTGCTGTGTGATCTTGGTGAGCCACTGTACCTCTCTGTGCCTCAGCATTATCATCTGGAAAACAGGGGTCAATATACCTACCTCCAAGAGGTGCGACCTGGGCAGGAGCTGGCACTCAAGAAACGGTTAAGTGTATGGGGTGATATGTTTAGAGAAAAATTTTCCTCCTCCCAAACTTGAACCTTTCTGAATCAGCCCCTCAGAAGAAGAAGTAAAGCAGGGAAGAATGACCATCCCCATGACCCCCCTGAGACACCAGACAACAGGCCTTAGGTGCCCCCTCTCTGGTTTCCTCCTGGAGCCCCACCTTCCGGCTGCTTCGCCAGCCTGCAAGGCCAGACACTCTGCAGCGAGCGCTGGCCTCCGTCTGATGGAAAGCCAAGGCCCCCGGCGGATCCTGGCAAAGTGGAATTTTTCAGCCGGGCCAGACAGTGGAGCCCTGAGATCCTCCCCACTCTGCACCCGGCTGAGCTGCCGCCCACCCCGGGGTGACTGGGTCAGGAGTCTTTAGGGGACCAATTCTCCTCTCCTGCTGCCATCAAGTTCAAGCTCAAAGACTTGGAAAGGAAGAGGAGGGACTCAGGAGGAGTTCTAAAGCCCGTTATGGATGGTGGGAGCCCTCCTGCGGCTTCTGTTCACGTCCCTGGCTGGGCAAGGTCAACCATTCCCGTCCACAGTGCCCTGCGTCTCCACAAGCAGAAGGCAATCTCCTGCAACAGGAAGGCTCTCTTTCAAGTGCACCCCAGGAGCAGAGAACTGGCCCCTCTCCCGGGGAAGTCTCCCTAGAGATTATTTCTACCATCTTGGCCTGTCTCCCCCAAGATGTGCAAAAGTGCCACTGAAACTTCCAGCATCACTGGGGTTCCACCAATAGACACACAAAGAGACATGAAGCCAGACCCTGTTCTCATTGATCTCTCCTGACCTGCATGCCACCCTCCTGCAGGGGCCAAGTCAAAGATGCGGAACACAGGAAGACCCCTGGGACGGGGGTCCCCAAATCCACCTCCACCTCTGCTCCCTGTGCTTCTCTGGTGTGTGTACACTATTTTCAGGCCAAACAGGGATTGTGCTAAAATTCTAGACTCATGTGGCCCTGCCCCCGTCACCAAGCCTAACAAGCCCATCTGGTCTTTCCCACCTTCACTGGGGAGGTCCCTGGTCCTTGTCACCTTCACTCGCCCATCCTTATGGCTGGGAAAGAGCCATGCCCCAGGGCAGCCCAGACGTGAGGGGCAATGAGCTGCTCACCTCCTGGTGGTGACTGCACTCTGACCGCAGGGCCCTTGGGTGGTGATCACCTTTGCTCATCTGATGGTTCTGTGTCCACTACTTCCTTCCAAAGTGACACCTGCCAGTCTCAGAGGTGTCACATGGTCTAATTTCTCCTTAGGTATTTTCACTTTTGCAGGTAACTGGCATAGGAATGGGGACCAAGAGCAAAAAGACGGCACCCCCAGAGGTTGAGGGCTGGGGTGTGAGGTCACCCGACGGAGCCAGTTCCCGCCCACCAGGAGGGCTCTCGGCAACCCCAGGACAAGCGCTCTTGACCAGTAGCACTCACACATGACTCTGCAGAGGTCATGGTGTGGTTCTGCCCACTGCTAGAGATCTTAGGGAGAAGGTGACGCTCCTGGAGGTGCACAGGGAGCTACCCAACCAGCATCTGCTAGGGCGCCACACTGGCAGGTGGGTTTGGAGCACGCGCCAGGGTTTTCTCCTCCTGCAAGTCCCTGGTGAAAAACCACTTTTAAAATGAGATCTCAAGTTTCCTGGGTGCCTCGATTTCAAAAGAAAAACCATCTAATTATAACAAAAATACATCCAGAAGGGCATTTCAGTATTGTGCAATTAGAATGCCTGGGTCAATTTTCAATATCCTCGATGCAGATGCAGTTTACAGAATCCCTCTGGGACACAACACAGATTCTGTCTAAAGAGCTAAACCCTGGCAGCATAATGAAGCTTTGCCTAATTCTTCTTATGCTGTGGATCCCGGAGAAATTGGTCTGAAAGAAGTTCTTTGAAAGCTCTCTTAGTAGTAAAAAAAACAAAAAAACTTTATGCAATGATTTTGACCTTTGTCAAACAAAATCCACGCACCACAAGACTTGGTTTTTATTTTACCTAAAAACATCCTTCAATTTAATTTGCAAAGTGCTTATAGTATGTTCTCTTAGTGCTCTGTGACTTTTTCTTAAGAGAGAGCTTTGCATTCAACAAAACAAAGCAGGAAAAAAAAAACAAAAACAAAAACACTGTAAACTGCATTTATTTGGGGGGCCACAGGGAAGACTGCTGTTTAATTTGTTTAAAAAAGCAAGTCAAATAGTCAATAGCTCCAAGCAACAGCAGAGTTTATAAGGTCATTCAAAGCACTTCCCAACATAGCAGCCAGAGAGCTTTCCCACGAGACTCCTGAAGTGCATCTATCTGTCCCCAAACCCCATTTGGGACCATTTACTTCCAGTTACCATGAGCCTGTGTCTAGGATCGTGATGCTATTCTGTGCTTTGTAGATGTTTTTGTTTATCAAGCTCCTTAAAATTGAACAATGGCAACAAGTTCAAACTGGACCACTGTCTACCCGTTCCTAAGCCAGACAGACAGCGTTGATATCATCCTTTCCCATTGGCCCAGAATCCTCAGAATCCTTCTCAACACTGCAACCAGACAATTACCACCATTTGACTTGAGCCAGTAGAGAAGGGGAAGTGTCCATCCACTTCCACTCTTGGGTTTAGCCAGAGGAAATTCACCTTTTTATGTCAAACAGAGTTGAATGTTGCTCATTTCATAATTCTTCGACTCAAAAAATTAAAAAAAGAAAAAGAAAAGGTTTCCTGCCTCTGTTCTGCATGGTTTAAAAGTGATCTCCCATCCCACTACCTGGGAGAGAATTAATTGTCCCCTCGTCTGTGTTCTTTTGAATCTCCCTGGTAGGTCCTTCGTCAGGCTGGATTACAATTTTCTATTTCCATGTAGGTCTTCCCTAGAGAATTTCCTGGGGCACAGTCAAATCCTCTCATCTTTTATCCCCAGCACCTAGAAAAGTATCTACCTGTCAGAAGGATTAATACGTGTAGCTGAATTATAATGCATTTTAAAGGGACCCTCTATCTTTATTTTCTTTGCTAAAAATAGTGCTTTTTTCTAAGCTCTTCTTCTTATGGGTGCCTATTTAGAGCTGTGAATTTGCCTGTTTAAGTTCAAATGCATTTACAAGCTGTGTCTAAGACATTCCCTTATTTTCCCCTTCTTTCCTGGTTCTTTTAAGGGTGTCTCACCCAGTTAAACAGGAGACCAGGGCAGCTGATGATCCACAGCCCGGGCTGCGAGTGCCTGTGTAAGTGGCTGGCAGCGGGATGGAACTCAATGTGGGAATAACTGGAGCCTGCTCCCAAGCCTGCCATGGTCACCCAGACAGCTGGGGTCCCACTTTGCTGGTGTTCTCAGTCTAGCCAAAGACCCGAGGCTGGAAAGCCCCAGGCCACTGGTCGAGTGAATATAGGCCCTCTGCCCCTGGAGCTCAGCAGGAAAAAGACAGGGTTCAAGGATGTTGGCAGGTGTTTACCTGAGTGGACTACACACAGGCACTGTGCGGGCTCTGGGGCACCTCTGCAGGGCTATGCACTTTCCAGAAAACAAAACAAAACAAAAAAGCATGCTTTCCCTTTAGCATTCAAATGCCCAGAAATCAAGATGAACATGTGGAAACAAAGGAATGATTCTGAAAACCAACCTGGGCCTTCCTCTGCATTATGCACTGAGATAAATAAATTAACAACTACTTTAGAACCATTTTTATGATATCTAACTATGATGACTTTGGTCAACTATGTATTCTCTATTTCTCCTCCAGGTTGCTCTCACAATGAAAAACATTTAGCAGTGACCGTCATGGAGGCTGGAAATGATATGTGGATTCTCCATAGAAAAGTACTGTCGGTTCAACATTTGCCAAAAGATATTTGCACTGTGTCTGTCCCTCCCTAACAGGAAGGGGCAGGCAGCATGAGTCCTTCTTTATAGGTAGGAAAGAAAAACAAAACAGAACCAGACAAGGATGATTTTTCTTTTACCAAAAGCCTTGTTGTCATTCAGGCAAATGCTAAGTGAACAGCAAGCATTGGGTTCCTAAGCCATGACTCATTCTATCAATGGCTCCTTCCTGCTTCCAATATCCTAGAGTGATTTTTTTTTTTTTTAAAGCTTGTTTCCTTTTAGGAAAAAAAAAATAGAATGGAGTTAGGGGAATAGTCCTACCTGGAGGAATAAGCTATGGACACTGGGCTGAACAGGAACCTACAAACCTACAAACTTTCTTCTTTTTCTTTTTTTTAAGCAGGGCAGTACTTTGGGAAGGGGGTGGCAACCCCCATGGGTCTTGTCCTCATAGGCCTCATCAAAGCCCCAGAGGTGGTCACACCCAGATGCTGCCCCCGCCCCCCAGTGTTTCTGAGTCGGCAGGTGTGGGCTGGAGCCTGAAAACTTCTCACGAGATCCCTCCTCAAGGACGGACCGCAGTTTGGGAAATGCCAGAGAAAAGTCAGCGCCCGGATCTCCAGGCCTGATGGCAGGAGAGCTGAAGATCCCCTGCAGAGAGGCTCAGGGTGGCTGTCCAGGCCCACCCCCAGGGCTCTATTCAGAGGCTGA